ACATATATTTCCATTAAACTTTCAACAGAAGAGCAGTGGTTTTTGTATATTTCAATAGAAGAGTTCGGTGGGATATAAATTGAACCGATTATAAATTTTAATTTTTCTATCCTAACTTCTACAAACAGTTGTTCCACATCATTGACCTCAGTTTTAATAGCCACTGAAGTAAACATCTGCCTGACAGCAATAAGAACTCCTCCACCTCTCTTACAGTTACTGGTTAAATGGTTTCGGTCTAATCTAAAAACATTATAGTTTAGAAGATTTAGTTCTGAAGTCAAAATATCTTCATTAAGCCATGTTTCAGTAAAACATAAAATGTCATAATGTGTTGTTAGGACATTTTTAAATAGCTCAGTTAATTTGGTTCGTAAACCTCTTACATTTTGATAGTAATTTACTAAATTGTTTAATTTGTTCTTGTTTTTGTTGCATTTATTTTGTTGGAATGTTCGTCTTTGGTTATTTATGTTGGTGGATTTGTTTTGACTCTTGGGTGAAAAAACCTTGCCACGTAAGCTCCTTCAGGCCACACGTCAGGATTCATGACCTTTTCAAAGTTAAAAAGATCAACTGTTAGCTTAAACGAGGAATAATAATCTGGAAACTTAGATGTTATAGGTTCACATAAGATTTCAGGAATACTATCTTTTAAATAATTGATTAATTCATCACTTTTAGTCTTAGGAGCAAGCCTAGACACATATACAAAAGCCTTTTTAGGAGCAACCTTTAAGGAACATGCGGTAGAATTCTTCAAAGTTCCCACCACCTTGATATTACTTCTTTTTTCATTTATTTTGGCAGTTTTTTTTACTGCATTAGCGTATCCAGATTCAGAGACGGTTTTGGAAGCCTCAGGTTTATTAATATTAATTACCTGATCACAAACAGTCTTTGTTGTAGCTTCTTGGATTGCTAAAGAAACAGTTTGAGAATTAAATATCTCTGGCGTTAACTTTTCGATTTTTTGATTTTTTTTGTTGTTTGTAGATGTTTTTACTTCTAGGATTTTATTAGAATTTTTATGTTTATCAGAGTTGCTGTGAAGCTCTAAATTTTTATTGTTGTTTTTTATTGAATTCATTAATTTTATTTGATCTCTTAAAGATTCAATTGCAATCGTTTGATTATTAATTATTAGGTCTTTTTGTAGAATAATTTCTTTGAGATAGTGAATTTCAATTAGCAATGGACCATCTGGAATTGAAGATGCAGTCCATGAACCATTCTGCTCAACACTTTGAGCAACTTCTTCATTAATTCCACAACAGTTAATTTCTTTTCCATTTATTATCTTTACATTTTTAATTTTTGCACAGCTTGGGTGCATAACACATTCACATATAATGCATTTGTAAAAAATATTAGGTATACTTTTACACCTTTTACACGGTTTATTTGTTGTATCAGACATTATTATAAATCCAATAAATACAAGCACCAATATAGCTCAACTGGAAAGGCCACAAGCCCGCTCCGCAGTCAACGAAGCGTCCCCGGTTCGATTCCCAAGGGGATAATTTTATTTTTTTGACAAATTTACTTGTTGTTTTTTATTCATTCACGGTTTTTATCAATGTAAACTTTTTATAAACAGTTCCATATAAACTGCGCACCAGTCAATGTGTCGCGACCAAAAATTTCGTCCTTTTTCAAAACGACATAACTTTTTTGTTTCTTGAACGATTTTATTTTGGTTTATGATGTCTGCTAGCCCCATTCTCTGGCAATTCATGCTATAGATATGAAGCTCACGGTTTTTCACGTAAATTTACTACAGGGTGATATGTAAAACAGTGAAAAATTTCAATTACTTCATCCAAGCCCCCTTTGTAAAATAAATATTTTTTTTTCGTTTTTACTTTGAAAAAGTGGTCTTTGCTTAGGTTCCTCTGAAATTAATGGAAGTTTGTTGCTTGTCGCTTGTTCAGAATTATTCAAGGAACAATCTTTCACCATCTTATCTTTTTGTTCTTAAAAAGGCTGAGTGTATTTCCTACAAAAAAGCATCAAATGTACTCCATTGAAAAAAAAATCATATTTTTGTTGCTAAGATTTCAATTCGAAAAATTTGAAAAACGTTTCAAGGTAAGACATAATACTTCATTATTTCAAAGTAAAAACGAGAAAAAAATATTTATTTTACAAACGGGGCTTGGATGAAGTAATTGAAATTTTTCACTGTTTTACATATCACCCTGTAGTAAATTTACTTGAAGAACCGTGAGCTTCATATCTATAGCATGAATTGCTAGAGAATGGGGCTAGCAGACATTACAAACCAAAATAAAATCGTTCAAGAAACAAAAAAGTTATGTCCTTTTGAAAAAGGACGAAATTTTTGGTCGCGACACATTGAGTGGTGCGCAGATTAATTTATCAAATAATTATGTTCATTTATTAGAATATCTATTTGTCACATTCACTAATAACACGAGTATTATGAAAGTTATTAAGAAATTACTTTAATCAAAACTTGGCAAAGTTTCCAACTTTGGTTCACTTTTATACCCATTTTATTAGCACATAACTCGGAGCATACAAAAACACAACCGCTCACTATTTATACCTTACTACTACTTGGTTTTCATATCGATAGGAATATTGATAGTACAACCGTTTCACATCTTAATCGTTTTCGGTTTATTTATCCCCATTTCTTTAGCTATATTTATTTTACTTTCCTGCTGCTGCGACCTTCCGTTAAATATCTCTGCTGTAAATACGGGCTTTTTCTTTTGTTTCCACTCATGATATTAGACGAAACCTTAAAAAACGTTTTAAAATACGATTTGTTATCATAATATGTCATATTACGTAAAGCGCTCCTACAAAACGAACCTTAGGTCCAAAAAATGATTTTAAGTATTGGTACCCGAGCAAAAAATCCAATGATAATCGCTGCGTGAACTTCGCATCTTCTGTAAAATTAAAATGTTTGACCTAAGGTTCGTTTTCTCGGAGCGCGTCAGTATTAAGAGTCAAGATCAAGTGCGAACTCTTTAACATATATGTATATTATACATTGTATACCCGTAAAAAGTAATAGAAACCCTATTTGTGTTAAAGAGAATTAAGTTTTCACTAATTGATGATTGCTAATAAAGTTTATATCAAGTTTAAACGCTTAAAATATTGTATTTCTGTACTCACTTTTCAAAACGCAAAACTACAAATGTTATTAAATAAGCAACACCCATTAGGATCACCAGGTTGCTGTTGTTGTGGTTTAGTGCTTTCCGTCTCTCAGCTCTCTCACTTTTGCTCCCGTTAGACTCAGACCAAGTTTATCCGTAAATTCTGTTTTGGCATATCCAATCGGATTTAAATCAAATCCAAGACCTTTTTTAAAACATTTTTAAAAAATAACAATATGGATCAGTGAAATAATGTCATTATATAAAATGTGGAAATACCTTCTAAAATTTGACAACCCGTACATTTTTTTATTATTTTTAACGGTCTTGTTCCTTCCTGAAACATAAAAGCTTTACATTAAAAAATTGTAAAAACATTAAAAAATAGTAAATAAAAAATATGTTAGTCATTCCTATAGGAATATATATATTAAACCAAAACCCAATTTTTTTTATAAACTAGTACCTATATAATATTATTATAATACTATTTATAATATGCAACTGTTGACTTACCTGTTACGTGTAAAATACACAACATAACATGGTAGATTATTTTTTTTACTGAGACAAAACGTAGATTTTAAATTTTAATTACGACTTTTCACTTCAAAGCTTTAGAACATGTGACAGAAGTTTTATCTGCTTGGCGCTTTTTTAGGTAAATCTTGAATTTCTCTTGCAATCTGCAAGCCAGAGGCCAGCGTAGTTTTCAAATATTTTTCTACCTTCCTATTTAGAAAATTATTATTTACAGATGAATTTAAATCTTCCGCTTTCGTGAAACCGTCAAACTCGCCTTCGGCCGTTTTCCAAACTTGTTACAGAATATACATACTATTGTATTTCACTAATAAATGAAAATAAAGCTAAGCCCAATAAATATTTTGATCCTCCTCAAAAAAGGTATCCTATGTTTTTTCGTAAACTTAGCTATTCAAAAAATATCTTAAAAATTTAAAAAGTTTTGAAAAAATATATAATAATAAATAGTAGATATTTTGGTTGGAAATTAACTAATAAGGTTTTTTGATAAACTTATACTTTAACCTTTTTTCTAATAACTATGTAGTACAGTAAAAATATATAAATTTTACTTGTAGATTTTTACAATATCTTTATAAATTTGTGTTCTTATTAATTAAAATAAGCTTTTAACTATTTCACATTTTTTTCTGAAATTTTATTTCGAAGTATTCATTTTTAAAAAAGTATTCCGGTATCCGAGCCACTTGAATGAGAGACATTTAAAACAGACTAAAAATAGACTTTGGGCGTGAGACCCAGAAATTTTCCCTACCAGATTTTTAATACCGGGCCCCCTCAAGGCTAGCTACGCCACTGAGAAAACACCACACGGGCCAAACGTTGAAATCTCGGTCCTGCAGGGCCGAAAATTCAACTTTCGGCCCTTGTAGTGTAATATATTGAATCTAACTCTAGTAACTTACTATCAGTAAGGATCTTACTTTTAATAGAGCTCATACGTAGATAGGCTTCTTTTGAGGTGCCCAGCAACTAATTTTCCGATATCGTTAGTCAAAAATATGTATTGTTAAAATAAAATTTTCTTTCCAAACACAAATATAATGATGCATTATAAGTTTCCACTTAATAAAAAACGCTCCTTTATATGTCAGGACAATAGTTACTTTCCAATTCTAATTTTAGTGAATGTAAAGAAAGGTATAAAAATATTGATATTGTGCAAAAATAGTTGGTACTTGTAATTCCTTATTGCGAGATAAATTTAATTGTAATTTGCAGTATTGCACAGACATCGTGATGTAAATAATAATTTACTAGATTGTATTAGAAACGTGACAATTTTTTAGTTTACAATGAAACATTTTTTAGGCTTGAGGATAGACCTCACCTTTGGAACAGCCTTATAACATCGGCAACTTCTGTATTCAAAACTCAGGAAGGTTTAGATATGGTTTCAGAACTTTACGTTCAACGTCAAAGCGAATTTGGAACGGCTGATTTTGTAATTGAAAAATCCCTAAAAAACATAAAAGAAGAGACCAAATGGAGCAACGATAATCTTCCTATAATAGAGAAATGGTTGGATAACTATTTAGCCGTAAACGACGTTCAAACAACTACTAAGATTTAATTTAGTAATTATGAATATTATATTTATTACAATTAGATTCTTGTGTATACACTTATAAGTTTACTAAAACAATTATTATGTGATCGCTATATACTCTTTTACTAAATATGTTGTAGTTTAATTTATGTTTATCAGGTTTTTCGTTATAAAAATAATTATATATTACATTTTAATATTATTTTTTATACCAAGAAAATAATTAATTTTGTAATATTCAATCAAAATATATTTTTGATCTATTAATAGTTTTTTTCATTAAATAAAATAAATAATTGATTGTTGTTTTATTTTTATATCCATATACGCTATGCATGTCAAACTGGCTAAAAGTTTGCAAAAAATAAATTAAAATCTGTTATAGTCCCGGCCAAATCTGCATGGGTGCACGTCATCAATGTCATCAACTAAAATGGTTTGCTATCCCAGCCTAAATATCATATACACAAAATTTGAGGAAAATCTGAGTAAAATAACCAATAAGTGTATTGTTTAAATTATAAAAAAACGTTGATGACGTGCACCCATACAGATTTGGCCGCGACTATAAATAAAATAAATAGAAGGTTAAGATAATTTTTCATTAATTTAAATTATTGAAAAAATTGACCTTTATCTTAGAACCAAATAAAATTAAAAATAAATTGGAACCTGTTAAATTAATTAATTAAATAAATTGATTTAAATTATTGAAAAAATTCACCTTTATCTTAGAACCAAATAAAAATTAATTAAAAGCTGTTAAATGAATGAAATAATTTTAAAAAAGACCTTTACCTTAGAACCACATATTTGTAGTATATACTTACCACGCAGATATAAATTTTTGAAACAAACAAATGGGTTTAAAATCTACATATACTTATATAATGGAAAAATAGATAACACCTACACAATAACAAATATTTATTAATAACAATCTACTAATATGCAGCCTCAAATATCAATAATAACCTTGGTTTACAATTTAAAATTTGTAATTAATATAAAACTAAAAAGAACATAATGTTTTACTAATAATACCTAATATTTAATTACAAATAATTACAGCCATCCTTTTTTATCTAGTGCCAACACCGTATCTCTTAATTTTCTTCTGTGGTTAGGCCCCAGCAAATCTTTACAACTCCAATCAGAGTCCTGAAAGTCCTCCAAACTGCTCTGAACTTTACCCTTTTCTGTGCAGATAGGCTTTAACATTATCAAAATATGGTAAACTTCAGTAGGTGCCACTTCGTTCAACTCAGCAAGATAAGCATTCCAAGAAAATGGATTTAGGTCTATATTTAAATCATTAAGGGTATCTACGAACGTGTCGTAGTATAATTTAATGAATTCATCGATGTGTTCATTTAAAACTGAGTTGGTTACACTTGTAAACAAAAAAAATACCAGATCGCGAACCGCAGAGGCGTACCTCATTATTTGCAAGTCTACGATTTTATTTTTTAATGGTTTGCCGTCGTTACCTCTTAATAACATGGTGTTGCTTACCCAAAAATCTGAATGGGCCATGGTACCCCATGGTTCGTTTGGGGGTGGTCTATTTACGTATGGGTTTTTAAAGGCATCATCTACAATGTATTGAAGACGTTCCAAAAGATGTTCGAGCTCTGAAATATTATGGGCACCATACATGATGCTATTGTGGAAAGCCATACCAACTTCGGGTGGTAACTGTTCCAGACCATTGTTGTGGATAAGGGCTGGCAGTACTTTCTCCTTAAATACTTCAGGTTTTAATAATTTTAAACCTATTGGAACTGCATGGAATTTGGCTAAATCTTGTACTACTATTCTAGCCGAGTCCAGGTCAAATCCTATGAGGCGGTCTTCAGTTTTATATCCTTGAACTTTTAAATTTTCAAAGATTAAGACACCGTCTTCATCCACTTGGTTTTTGTTTTCATCCAAACAAACTCTTGCTCCAAAACACTTGGGGAACACATCAAGAATTTTATTTTTTGGTACATTTTTCTCCTTTTGTAGCGCAATTAAAGTAGGTATTGTTTTTGTGTAAGCAAACACTTCCTTTTTAAATGTAACAAATATATCGAAGGCAATTTTTAGAACTTCACTTTGGGGAATCAATTTGGCCACCAAATTTAACACTTCTTCTTTTCCATTGTTTTTTTTTACGGTTACATCCAGACCCAACATGATGCTGCCATAGTGTTCGCCAGGTGCGGTAAGTATGAAGGTATTCTGGTCCACCACTTCAATCTCTTCCCCGAGAGAATGCACCAACAATTCTTTCACGTTGTGTAATTTCGACTTAACCATCGTGAATCCCACAAATATCAGAGACAAGGGAGAGAGAGAGAGCCAGTTTTAACACTTGCGTGACGCAAGTTGCGTCTAGGGGGTCACCCACATTCGATCCCGAACACGAACGAAATATACAATGGGCGTGGCTAATATTATTATGTTTAACCATAGAGAAACAATCATAGTGAAACAACAATAGACAAACATTGTTTCTCTATGATTTTACTATAAATTTATTTAATTAAATAACAAATTGCACTGAAAGAAATATATACTAAAGTTAAATAAAAAAATAATTAGGGCAAATATATTTTATGTTTCATAGATGGACTACCACATACATTGCTAAAACAAATATATTCGTTTGGTTAGCAGCCTATTGCTGCCCTAGCAATATAAATGTGTTTCTAGCAATATTTTATTGCTGTAATTCACTTATAGTTTACATTTTATAGTAAGGGTAAGTTTATTTTTATTTAGATCTAACATATCTTCTTTACAATAAATGTATTACAAAATTTAACATACATTTATAATAAACAGTAGTATAAATATGTAAAGCACTAGTATAAAATTTTTAGTATAAATTTGTATTTACTTTTAGCAACAAATTTCTTTCAGTGTGTCGTTAAAACTAAACATATTTTTAAATCTCTAAATTGTATTACAATATATAGATTTAAGTTAAAAGGTCGAAATATTATATATATACGAGGGTGGTTCAAATATAAACCGGAATTTTGCTATAAAAATTTTTATTATTAAGTTACAGAGCTGAAATTTTTTACAATTTTTCTAGATTGTCTCCGTCACACTCTACACACTTTTGCCACCTCTCCGGAAGCTTTCGGATGCCTTGTTCGTAAAAATCTCTCGGCTTGTCACGTAACCATTCGCGCACGAAGTATTCTACATCCGCATTGCTTTCGAATCGCAGTCCGCCAAGTGCCTCTTTCAATGAACCGAACAAATACTAGTCGCATGGCGACAAATCGGGACTATAAGAAGGGTGTTCCAGTGTTTCCCAACCCAATTCGTTCAATGTTTTCATCAAACTTCCCAGCGTGTGAATTTCTGATCAAAATTCAGAAGTCTTGGCACCCATCTGGCTGAAATTTTTGCGGTAACCGAGCCGTTTATGAATTATTTGCTCAATACTACCTACGCTGATGTCCAATTCTTCAGCCATATCGCGTACAGTACTGCGTCGGTCTTCCAAAAGGAGTTTTTCTACAGCGCTGACGTTCTCATCTGTAACACTTGTTTTGGGGCGCCGCGCATATGGCAAGTTTACCACCACTTTTCGGCCTTTTCGCAAAGCGGAACACCATTCATACACTTGAGTCTTGGAGAGGCACTCATCCCCGAACTGCTCGAGTAATTTTTGATAAATTTCCGCGGATTTTACATTATCTTTGACCAAAATACGAATAATGATGCGTTGCGCAACAGACACTGGTACATCCTGCTCGCTCATGGCTATAACTACACTGAAAAGCGAGGTTACGCAGTCCCGACTGTTCTCTACGCTTCGTAACAGACCAGTCTAACATCCAGTGCAGCCACTTTTACGATACTAAATTTTTAGCGCGTTTATTAAAAAATTCCGGTTATATTTGAACCATCCTCGTATTATATGTATAATATTTCGACCTTTTAAATTTGATAAAGTTGTTCCTCATTTAACCAAAACCACTTTTTTTAAGGTAAAATTTTGTACTGATTCCTAAAATAATAGTAGTTTTTCTGGTTTAGCTCTAGATTTCGGGTTATGCATGAAATCTCGCAAAAATGCACTGTGACAGAATATTCAATCACAAATATGCAGCTAAAATTTTATTTGATATCAAATCAATCCCAAATCTTTAAACCTGTAAGGACTGAAGTTTAATACAAATTTTAAGATGTAAAGCTCCTAAATCGCATTAGTGGTTTTGTCATTATGACCAAAAATAGGTCAGAAAAAATCACTATTTTCCGATTTTTTTTCATTTTTTTTAACTTTGGTCCACTGTATTTCAAAAAATATTTTGGAATATAAAAAGTTAGTCCCCCTATATTCTAGAGAATTTAATTATGAAAATTTTAAGCATACGTACGTCAATATATGATGAGATTTAGATTATATACGGTACATTTTTTCAAACAATAAAAAAATTTATCATTTATATTACAATTTTTTAGATTTAATAAGGAAAAAAATCTTTTTTTTTAATTTTTTCTTATTTATTTTATTTTTTTATTTAATTTACTTCCATAAACATTTATTTTTAATTTTAGATTTTGTTTATTTTAGTGATTTATAATGAAGAATATGTGTGGTGTTCACTTTTTTTCTGTACTGCATCGGATCCGTTTCTCTTTTTCAACAAATAAGCCTTAATAAGCCCAAATGATTTAATTAGGGACCTTAAGTTGTCGAAAAGTGTCGAATAGTGAAGTGCTAGCATCGCGCCTTAACCAATGGAAATGTCTTGATAATTCAGGAACGATTAATTGTAGCACCCGGACAATACCATGTTGCCAAATGTACAACTTATTTGACGACTCCTAATGGCCTCTATTCCTCAATGGGGCGGGGTCGGTTGGGTTGGGTTGTTGAGTTTGGGTTGGTTTGGGTTGGTTTAGCTCACTTTTGCCCATTTAAGTCAATCAACTTAAATGGGCAAAAGTGAGCTAAACCAACCCAAACCAACCCAAACTCAACAACCCAACCCAACCGACTCCGCCCCCTTGAGGAATAGAGGCCATTAGGAGTCGCCAAATAAGTTGTACATTTGGCAACATGGTATTGTCCGGGTGCTACAATTAATCGTTCCTGATAATTCGGCTTGTGTTACATCATGTTTTTTTTCTGCATCGAATTCATTTTCAGAAAAAGACGTATCAAAACTAGGTTCGTTTTTGTTTGATGACTTATAACTTAAAGAATGTTTTGATTTTGGTAGATTTTCGTCATGTAGAACTGTTTTTTTCGCTGAAGTAACATCTGGATACTGAAGAGATCTTCTGTTTTTTGAGTTTATACCAGTTATATTTATCACACAAAAGTAACATTCTAAGTGATCCACTGGTTCTGCCCATAAAACTGGACAGTCAAAACTCAAATAAACGTTTTTTCCAGACATCCAGCTAAAAAAGAAATATTTAAAATCTTTTAAAAACTAAAATCAATATAAACATTTATATTCTAAATGACAACTGAAATGTCAAATAAATACATCTAAATAACCACTTACTGGCACCCTACAATTTTATTTCTGTTATTAAATTTAATTTATGTAAAAAAGTACTTACATTACATCACTAAAAAATTGACCTTATAAAATCTAAATCTTATCGTATGTTGACGTACGTATGCTTAACATTTTCGTAATTAAATTCTCTAGAATATAGGGGGGCCAACTTTTTATATTTCAAAGTGTTTTTTTATTTACCTACATTGGAGCAAAGTTGATTTTTTTTTAAATTGGTCATAACGACCAAAGCACTAATGTAATTTATAAGTTTTACACCTTAAAATTTTTATTACACTTTCCTTTTTATAGCTATAAACATTTGGGATTATGTTAATATTAAATAACAAATTTAGCTGAAAATTTGTAATTTAATGTTCTGCATTTTTTCGAGATTTCCTGCGAATCTTGAAATCTAGAACTAAACCAGGAAAACCACTATGATATTCTGAATCAGCATAAAATTTTACCTTAGAAAAAGTAGTTTTCGTTCAATGAGGAAATTCTTGTAAACTAGTGTTATTTATAAATATACCTATATTTTTTTGAACTCGTGAACCTAAAAATGGTCAAAATTGACCACCTATCCCTTTCTTGTGACGATGTGAAGATTATCGAATTATTGAATCATCTACCCCCTAACTTATTTTTTCCGATTTTTTTTGTACTCTATCTGACAAAAAATGGAACGAATAAGCAATTTTATTTGATTTATTTTGTCACCTGACGTTTTAAAAAGACCTTCCCCCTCCAGTTTTACGAGATTAATGGACAGCCCTAAATTTGATAGCCCCCCAGGAGGGAATGCTGCTCACGGCTCGGGTGCCGCCACATGAATGGAACAAGTAAAGTGAAATTTTTTCTCTTTGAACACTAAAACATATACAGGGGGGACCAATGGGTGCAATTTACCCCCCCCCCCCTAACTTACCTATTTGTTTTTATTTTAATTTTTTTTTCAAGACATAAACACAGCATTATGCAAATTCAAGTATTACATGGATTACAAGGGTCATTTTCAAGAAACACCGGCTTTCAGGAAAATGAAGATCAAAATTTTTTTTTGCTTAAATTGACTTTTGGTAGGATTTTTATAAATGTTTAGAGTTTTGTTTACTTACATTTAAGATAGGCAGTGCGCTTTTTAATTTTTTTACGTTTTTTTCAGAAAAATGTGTTTAGCTAGCTTTATATATCTTCACTGTGTTACCAATTTAAAATGCAAAATTTAGTTTAATAAAAAAAGTTATTATAAAAATAATTTGAAATAAAATGTACTCAGTTCACAAACTTTTGATTCCAATTTTTTATTTTATTTTTTATTAAAAATTGTATGCTTTTTTTTAAATATATATGTTAAGTTACGTTTTAAAAGAAACCATTCCGATTCTTTTTTAAAAAAACAATACCATTAATATTACTATATTAGTGAGTTAAACTCTAATTTATAAACACCTATTACCAAGTGATAGTGTATAAAAATCATTTTAAGTATTTTTTTAACAAAAAAAAGTAACGAAATAGACATTGGTATCACAACGGACTGGGGTACACAAAGGACTTAATCAGATAACGTAAAAAAGAAACTATAAAGGGTGGTACAATTTTAGAGTAAAGCATAAACAAAATCCCTTGTAGTGGTGCTCACTTGCAGAATAACAACTTAGATTTCTAAATTGTAGACACCCTTTTTCTTTGACTATAAGCTGGTGAAGGTCCCTTTTAGTACTTGTATATTGCGTGGAATTTTTCCTTGGATGTAATCTATATCATGAGTTTTAATCACAAATAATTTTAAATTGGTTTATCATTAACTACTTTTAATAAAAGCGACGGTAAATATCCACTTTGTTGTCGAAAACAAATTCTATTGCGTTACCCTAAATTCCATTGCGTTACCAGAAGGTAACATAAGGGACTCGGTAACGCAGTGAAAAAAGTTTTGTGAAACCATATTTAAAAAATAATAATAAGCCATTGCAGTCATTAATTACTCTCAATGAGCTTTGGTGCCCTAAAATAAACATAATAATGAAAAATAGTATTTTTTCTTACCTTTTACCTTTTACCTTTTATTATTTTTTTGAGTAACGGACAAACAATTATTACATTCGCGTTACCCGCATCTGTTTCAACCGATATCTTCTTCCTGATTGAATAAATAAATTCAGCTGGGTAATGTGTACGTCCGAACATCATTTGTGGATCACGTGAGTGCCAAAAAAGTTGCCACATATATGTTTTTTTTAATATTCTATCGGTAACGCGATGGACGTAACGCAATGGAAAAAATGTCTGGGACATGAGTCAAATTAAAAAAAAGTATATTAAAATTAATTATTTTATATATAAATTGTTTACTGTATTAACTAAGGATGTTATGGGTTGCTATAAAGCAACACAAAGTTCTGGTTATTCAATATTAAAAAAAACATGTATGTAAGTTTCATAAAACGCTAATGAGACATTCTAAAATGTGTGTTTCACTAGTTTCAAAATTAAAAAAAATTATTCTGAAATAACTAAACAAACATTTTCTGAAAGATTTTACTAAGGGCTTGTTAGGCTTTCACTTGGTTGTTAAATCAATAAGATCCGATAATTTTTAACAAAGTTATTGGAATTCAAACTTACGGACAGCGGAAGGCGGGTGTTTTTTGAAAACGACCCACAAACTAAAATTTTACAAAATTTTTGTTTAGAACGCATTTTCTGGATGATACTCGTATGTAAAATTACACAAAAATCTACACACTCTTACTAATGTTTATTTTACTAAAAATTGTACCAAAATTATGTTAAAATTCATTTTTGACCCTTTTATGATCTGATAAAACTAGTATAAACCAGGCCCGTGCACACGGGGGTTTTGGGTGTTCGGGAGGGTTTTAAATTAGAATTTTTACTTAAGATACTGAAAAATAACCTTAAAATACATATTTTTTATAAAAATGTTTAATATAGTGAGTTTTTAAAATGAATAGACTATATACATTCTTATGTGACAAAAAACAAATACCCGTTACATTTTTAAAATATGTATTTAAAATTTATTATTTCGAGAAAAAAAATTAAATAAAAAAAGCAATATAAATTAGTTAAAGTTTTATGTGAAATTATAAGGGGTAAAATTTTTATAATTTTTTGGCCAATCTAGATGTCCAATCTGACATAGCTAGGATCTGTCCGCCCCTGCCCATTCGCCCCTGACGAGTGGCGTATTTTTTTGAAAAGTTCATTCAAAAACAAAAATTAAAAAAAAAGGTACCCAAAAGTCAATTTCTAAAAAAGTTATGGCTATTTGAAAATAAAAAAGCCATTTTTTTTGAGGTTGAACAAAAAAATTTGAAAAAATTTTCAAAAATGTTTTTCAAAGGGTAGAAAAGGATGGAAAAGTTTCAGCAAAATCTAAAGGGGTCGGGTTCAAAAGTGGTCGATTTGGTATGGAATACCCCATATAGACTTCGTGATGTAAATAATAAGTTACTAGATCGTATTATAGTCCGGGAGGCAGTGAAGATTTTTATCTTCTTATTTTCCCAGTTTGTGAATGTCATTAAGTTTGTTCAAATGGTGACACAAAACGACAATTTGTGTGTCTGGCTAAAATTTTCGGATGGGTTCACTAGATGAGCCAAAAAGTCAAGTCCACTTATTTTCCCAGTCATAAATATTTCACATTAATTATAGTGAGTCATTTTATTAATGGAAATAACAGTCTGGCACATCCCAAGTGAAGGAAAGTCAGCCTGGCTGAAAATTTGCGGAAGCAAAAATTTGACCGGTTTTTGAAATACGTAGCCCTTATTTTCCCATGCTTAAAATTTAACCCATTATTTGGTACTGTCATAAACTATAATCAAAATTAAGTCTGGCTGATTTATGAAATTGGCAAATTGTTCTGGCGGCATCTTGAAAATCGTAAGAATTACAAAAATTTTGCTCTTATTTTCCCGGATTTGAAAATTTGTCACATGATAAATAATACTATAATTTCGTAGAAAATACACGTCTGGCTGTTATTTACAATCACGAAAACCCCGCCAGACTGCGAAAATAAGGGCAATGGTTTTGATAATTTTTCCACCTGCCAGACATATTACCCATACTCACAGATTAGCCAGACTATTTTTTTCTTAAGTTCACTATATCTCTCACTAATGGAATTATTTTTATCACTGGAAAAAAAAGTGCAATATATTTGTACTTTATAACGCATTTTCCGCCTTAACCCATCGGAAAACCCCCCCTAAATATATATAAATTTTGCTCAGAATAACAAACCCAATAATTGTATCGGTGTTTACCGACTGGGAAAATAAGTACCGAAAATCTTCACTGCCTCCCGGTTGGACAAGTCTGGCAAGGCTTTCGGAGTGTTCCACATTGGCCAGACTATATTTGCAGCTGTAATTATAATATAAACTATCATCTCACAAAATTTTTAGGACTGCGAAAATAAGGGCAATGGTTTTGATAATTTTTCCACCTGCCAGACATATTACCCATACTCACAGGTTAGCCAGACTATTTTTTTTCTTAAGTTCACTATATCTACTAGTTTACAAACTAGCTAAAGCTTGGCTATTTTGTGTTACTAGAAATTTTGGTTTTCATATTAGCCAAATTGAATTGGATAGTATACAAACTATCCAGCTATTTTAGTTTCCCTAATAATTTCAAGTAAATTAGCCAAGATCCTTGGTTATTTTGTAAACTAGCCGCTAATTTAGTTGAAAATACATTTTCAATTAAAATAGCTGACAGTTTGGCTAGTTTATAAACTATCCAAGTTTGCACATTAGCCGTGACATATACACTTATAAGTTTACTAAAACAATTATGATGTGATCTTTTACTAAATATGTTGTAGTTTAATTTATGTTTATCAGGTTTTTTGTTATTAAAATAATTATATATTACATTTTAATATTATTTTTTATACCAAGAAAATAATTAATTTTGTAATATTCAATCAAAATATATTTTTAATCTATTAATAGTTTTTTTCAAATAAATAAAATAAATAATTGATTGTTGTTTTATTTTTATATTCATACGCTATGCATAACAAACTGGCTAAAAGTTTTCAACAAACAATAAATTAAAACCTGATAAATAAAATAAATAGAAGTTAAGATAATTTTTAATTAATTTAAATTATTGAAAAAATTGACCTGTATCTTAGAACCAAATATTAAACCAATTAAAAGCTGTTAAATGAATTAAATAAATAAATTGATTTAAATTATCTTAGAACCACATATTTGTAGTATATACTTACCACGCAGGTATAGATTTTTGAAACAAACAAATGGGTTTAAAATCTACATATACTTGTATAATGGAAAAATAGATAACACCTACACAATAACAAATATTTATTAATAACAATCTACTAATATACAGCCTTAAAACCTTGGTTTACATTTTAAAATTTGTACTTTTAATATAAAACTAAAAAGAATATAATGTTTTACTAATAATACCTAATATTTAATTACAAATAATTACAGCCATCCTTTTTTATCTAGTGCCAACACCGTATCTCTTAATTTTCTTCTGTGGTTAGGCCCCAGCAAATCTTTACGACTCCAATCAGAGTCCTGAAAGTCCTCCAAACTGCTCTGAACTTTACCCTTTTCGGTGCAGATAGGCTTTAACATTATCAAAATATGGTAAACTTCAGTAGGTGCCACTTCGTTCAACTCAGCAAGATAAGCATTCCAAGAAAATGGAGTTAGGTCTATATTTAAATCATTAAGGGTATCTACGAACGTGTCGTAGTATAATTTAATGAATTCATCGATGTGTTCATTTAAAACTGAGTTGGTTACACTTGTAAACAAAAAAAATACCAGATCGCGAACCGCAGAGGCGTACCTCATTATTTGCAAGTCTACGATTTTATTTTTTAATGGTTTGCCGTCGTTACCTCTTAATAACATGGTGTTGCTTACCCAAAAATCTGAATGGGCCATGGTACCCCATGGTTCATTTGGGGGTGGTCTATTTACGTATGGGTTTTTAAAGGCATCATCTACAATGTATTGAAGACGTTCCAAAAGATGTTCGAGCTCTGGAATATTATGGGCACCATCCATGATGCTATTGTGGAAAGCCATACCAACTTCGGGTGGTAACTGTTCCAGACCATTGTTGTGGATAAGGGCTGGCAGTACTTTCTCCTTAAATACTTCCGGTTTTAATAACTTTAAACCTAGTGGAACTGCATGGAATTTGGCTAAATCTTGTACTACTATTCTAGCCGAGTCCAGGTCAAATCCTATGAGGCGGTCTTCAGTTTTATATCCTTGAAGTTTTAAATTTTCAAAGATTAAGACACCGTCTTCATCCACTTGGTTTTTGTTTTCATCCAAGCAAACTCTTGCTCCAAAACACTTGGGGAACACATCAAGAATTTTATTTTTTGGTACATTTTTCTCCTTTTGTAGCGCAATTAAAGTAGGTATTGTTTTTGTGTAAGCAAAAACTTCCTTTTTAAATGTAACAAATATATCGAAGGCAATTTTTAGAACTTCACTTTGGGGAATTAATTTGGCCACCAAATTTAACACTTCTTCTTTTCCATTGTTTTTTTTTACGGTGACATCCAGACCCAACATGATGCTGCCATAGTGTTCGCCAGGTGCGGTAAGTATGAAGGTATTCTGGTCCACCACTTCAATCTCTTCCCCGAGAGAATGCACCAACAATTCTTTCACGTTGTGTACTTTCGACTTAACCATCGTGAATCCCACAAATATACTGCTGTATGCGCTGCCGCTGTCGCTGCCAAGCGTACCTAAACAACGTTCGACTTTTGGTAGGGCAAATAAATTGTTATCGATGCGTGTATGTAATTGTTTATTTGATAATTTTAACTATTTGTTTAATTGACACGACTTAGTGCAACGCATTTTATTTTATTAACCTTATAAAATGATTAATGCATAAAAGTTATATTCGTATAGGTTAAACCAAACTATGTGTACAAAATGTCCTTAAAATAATTATAATTATTGGTTTTATGTATTCACAATACGTACTGAATGATAAGAATATTTGCATAAACAATATTTATCAATAATTCATGTGAATACATTATTTTGGGTTTTTCTAAATTCGTAAATAATAATAATAATTTATTTTAATTTTATTTTCTAAACCTTAAACCTTTATTATAATTAAGCCTTAGGGTTTAGAAAATATATCTTATGTGACAATAGTACCCAAACTGGGTATATGTTAAAGCGGTAAAATCTGCTAACCGATAAAAATATAGTAAAATTGAACATAATTCTGACGTATTAAATACAGCGTGTTAATTATAAGTATAAAATGTATATGTTGACACAAAAACCATCCAGTCTACAATAGTTGGCATGCATTCAATTCGTCATACATTGCACAGTGATGTAAGTTCCAAAATAAAAGTCCAATTACTTTAAATCTAAACTTTTCTATTTTTATTTTAAGTTTTTTATTAACTACCTACCTAGTTTGTGAATGATTTTTGGGCATTTTTTTGATTTTTAAAAATTGCTTTACCATTATTTTATAGCTATTTTTCTGATATTACAATCTATTACAATATATTAATGTATTTGGTGCAACTTAAGTTAGGTTATACTTTTTTAAGCCTCATTTTTCAGTAACTTTTTTTGTAATTTAATCTTGTGGCCATTTCAGGCGCGCGAAACGCACGAATTACGAAACTGTTTTTATAAAAAAACTAGATAATTTATTGTATAAAATTTTGCATCAAAATTAACAAAAATATTGTTCTTTTATTAGGCTATAGGTACATTATATAAAAAACGCAAGAAATATTTTATAAAAGTAGAGATAATTTTAATCATTGAATGGTGTGGACGGGACAAAAAAAGATTTATCCTGTCCCGTCCACACCTGTCAATTATTAAAATTATCCCTACTTTTAAAAAATATTTATTGCGTTTTTTTATTTTATGTACCCATAGGCTAATAAATATAACGCGGAATTTTTTCAGCGATTACATAAAAATGATTATATTGTGATATTATAGTTATTTTTTGCACATGTATAAAGATAAGTGTTTACTTTTTTTACTCTGATTTTTATTAACATTTTGACGTCATCACTGGAAAAGTTCCGCGGTATACTAATAAAAGAATATGTTTGACAATTTTGTTGCCAAAATATTATATAATATATTAACTACCTACCATTTTTATAAAAATAGTTTTGTGATTTGTCCCGTTCGCATGCTTGAAATGGCCCATTGATAAGTTAATGTAATTATTCTTAATAGTCGTAAATAGTCTTAAATAGTTTTTATTAAAATTTCCCAACATTTGATGTTTGCCGTTTTGTAGTGCTACGAACGAGTGGCAGATGCAAGTTTCCAATCGGTTGTTATAACTATAGTTAGTATTTGAAAGGTTTAGGTGCTTTTCTTAAAAAAAGAAGCTGAATTTTAAAATATGTGGATGATCCCAAAATAGGCCCTTAGCCAGCCTGACATTTTATGCAGAGGAATTCTAGAGGAGGCTTAAAATGTTACTTTATTTTTAAATAACAAGTGGTAAAACACATGTTAGTTTTGATACAAGTAAAGAAACAAAAATATTACCTAAATGAATTGTCCAGTAAAATGTGAATACGCTATTATAGCGTAGAATAAGTAACACAAATTAATTTTAAATTTTTTAAAAATTATAGCGCTGTACTGGAGGCGAAAGGGGAGCTTAGCCCGACATGGCGCCCCCTGCCTACAGGCCTGTTTTGTGTTTTTAAGTTGTTTAAATTTGGGTTAAAAAAAGTATAATAAATGTGCTAAAAACAGCACGTAAAGCTTATGTGCAAAGTTTTAGCTCAAAATAAGAATTTTTAAAAATTGCTTAAAAAAATTAAATTTTTCTGCGTCGGTAAGAAAAATCTCTGTTCTTACGAAATTAGAGTAACTATAATTTTAACATACATAAAAATAAAATATGATAGAAGTTATTATAGTTTTATAATGTTAATTTGACAAAATATTGAATAAATATTAAATTAATTTATACATTTTAAATTTTAAATTTTTTTTAATAAAAGGGTGGTCCCAGTAATATTAAAAACGAGAGACCGGTTGCAATGTTGTCGGTATATTTCATTATTATTGAAAAAAAAACATAATTTCAGACTTTTGAGCTTTTTAAGAAAACATGGATTGTTGACTTCCAGACAGTATGGTTTACTCAGGGCAAATCTACTTAAGAAGCCATTCTGATTTTCTATAAAAAAATTCTCGGGAATTTTAATAAACTAAAGACAGTGGGAATTTTTTTACGACTTTTTAAAAGCCTTTAACACGTTCACTGCCGACGTAATAGTCCGCCCATGTTGCAGTGCCGATGGCTTTTTTTTAGAAATTTTAGATATTATCTTTTTAAAAAATGGACTAAAACTTGTTTCTTTCGTTTCTTATTGAAAGGTTCTATATGAAAAAATACTAAAACAAAAAACAAATAAACAAACGCGGTAGACGCGTTGGCGGCACCCAGCGACAAAAACCATGCTATATGCCACCGTATATTGACTAACCCAAGTACAAAAAGGACCAAGAATAACCTAGTTTATAATGTCCAACCAACTTCCAAGTTACAAAAATAAAAGCAATTTTAATGAATTCAAAAAATCTAAGATATCTTTTTTACAAATTAATCCATTTTATTTGTACACGGAATTTTTTAACATTTTTTAACATTTTAATGAATTCAAAAAATCTAAGATATCTTTTTTACAAATTAATCCATTTTATTTGTACACGGAATTTTTTAACATTTTTTAACATGTGATATTGCACTTAGCAGGTTTTAAGGAGGAAGTGTGCTTTTGTCGTAAACACATTTTAGCTGACAATTTGTAGGTACTTATTGCAATAATCATGATATACCTTTTTACTTTATTGTTGTACCTACTTTGTAAATTCCATATTGCTTTAATTAAATACTTGTTTTGTATATTGTTGCTTTATGAATCACGTGATTGTACAAGCATAGGCCATTATTGATTTTAAAAACTTTATAATAAAATTATTATATTTTGTCAACCAATAACTTTCAGATGCAAAAATCATAAACAAATACCACACAAAGACACAAAACGTATGATGCCCATTGAAATGCGCTTAATTAAAACAATTTTAAAGCTTTGACTAAATTACTTACCCAATCTACATTCCGTTTCTTAAGCCATATGGATATAGAGATATCTATTTTTAAAAAAATATTCTCTGTCATTACCAGGTTCAAAAAAATTAATTTTTTTTTAATTTTCTGAAAAATATTAGGTATATACCTATCTATAAAAATTTCCACTTATTTTTAACTTTTAACCACTGCTCTCAAGCATGGCGGCGACATGTTGACAAGAGTTTTAATAAAGGAATAATAGCAACAATTTGCAAATTTGAAAGCAAATTGTTCATATTAAATACATATTGCTCCTCTACTAGGAACAATTATAAAACCTTTTTACTGTTTGGTTCTGTAACATTCTTACATAGAGGAAAAGTAGTCCTAAGACCAAATGCTTCCGAGCACCATTAAAACCAATAGGCATCTGATAAACCTCTATAAAGCTTATTGGACTATATGCGTTTCTTAGGGGCAAGTTGCCCTAAAAAAGCATTACTGCCCTACTATGGAGAAAGGCAGTAACTGCTAAACAAGAAATTTGTGGAAAATTAGCATAAACTACATTTTTATAAAAAGCAGTAGGTATTTAATTGATTTTTTTAACTTATGAGATATTTGACTGCATTTCTGTGTTGAATTCAGTAACAAAATGTTAATAGCTTTACCATAGCACAAGAAAACGCATTTTGCATTTTTTTGCAGTTACTGCCTTTCTCCATAGTAGGGCAGATTATTGGTTAACTTTAATAAATTAATGTTAAGATCAAACGGTTATAATTGCAAAAAGGCTTTATTACTTTACTTTAAAGTCGCTCATAAAGCCTAATCATACACTGTTCAAAATTTCATGACCATTTTAACACCAAACATGGTCTATATCGATACAAACCAAAATGGTGTTAAATAAGGTTCGTTGGTCCGGTGTAAATTCAAATACTAAAATAGTGTTAATTTAACTTTCACACAGTATTAAAATAAATTTTACTTGGTGTAAATTGAACTCCTTTTCAGTGTTAAATATTATGTGTTTGTGGATAAATTAAATCATACTACACAGAAAAAAGGAAAAAAAAAGGAAACAGGAAGTTTCTTGACGCATTACTAGTCTATTACCAGTGGTATTTTTCCAGAAAATGGAACCTTCAACTCGCTAGAGATAATGTTTTTAGTGCGTTGCACTAACTTAAAATACTTCAAGTATTGACAGCTGTTTCCACCTAAAGGGTGGGCCATGCTTATGTTGAATTATAAAATAGCAATGAGAACAAGAACAACTGATTTTTTTTCAACGAATTTTGCTTTATTTGATACAATGTTTCTTCCGATTAAGTATGAAAAATGATTTTATTTAAGTGGCCACCTCAGCTGGCTTGGCAGTAGCCCATCCTGGAACACCAATTTTCGAGCACTTTGTAAAAAGTTTGCTGCTCTATTTAGGCAATTTGAGCTTGAATGTTTTGTTTTAAATGATGAATAGGCTTTGTTACGGCGACGTGTGGATTTTCCGTGGCCCAAATCCTACAGTTTTGCTTGTTTACATAACCTCCGAGGTAAAAATGCGCCTCATCCGAAAAGATGATTTTTCTTGCAAAATTAGGGTCATCGTTCAACTGGTTTAAAGCCCACTCAGCAAAGCGAAAACGTTGTGGATGGTCAACTTGCTTTAACTCCTGAACAAGCTGGACTTTGTACGCAAACATACCGAGGTCTTTGTGCAGAATCATCCTCAGAGTGGTACGGGAAAGGCCGAGTTGATGTTGACGCGTTCATGCGTACATTTTCGGCCACAGCAGCGATTGCTTCAGG